AGCACCAGAGAGAAAGGGAGTAAAGTTGTTAGGTTCGTATCTTGGTCTCTACATCCCTACTGAAACAACTTTGAATTTTTTTCTTAATTAAGAGCCATTAATATATTCATATAGATAAAAATTTGTATAATAAATTAAACGTATTATGATAAGTGACATAAAATACATTATAACATGTTTAGCCTGTATTTTTTTCTATATTATAAAATGTAAACTTATGATGAATTATGACATCAATTCACCAATAATACATTTTATGTTATAAAATGTATTTTTGGTCTGTTAACTTCATGTCAGTTTAATATGTTAACATTAAAAGTAGTGTTTTATATAAAGTACTTAAATTTATTGAAATAATAAAAATGTGAGAATTAATATAATTCATTTATACAAGGATCAGAGAAACATGCCAAATTTGCATATGACTTACGACTTACGTAACAGTTGAGCAATTGTGCAATCAATGAGACGGTGTTTGCCTTGAAACATGCACGAGAGTTATAGCTAAAACATAATGTTAGCATTTGCAAGTGCCTCAAATTCTGAAATACATTCATCCTCATTAATGACAATTTTGAAAAAGGTGATGGATGAATAATACGGTTTCTTCGAATGAAAAGATAACACCTTGTAAAGTTCATTCCTTCGTGAAATTCTTCATAAAGGAAGACATGATGTATTGAGTAAATTTTGTGGATGAATACTTCAAATGGTTCTTATTTATGCTAGCTTTCCATTAATTAAAACGTTACATTATGGTCTCCACAAATAAAAAGATAAACGAAAAATTAAAGGAAAAAGAAAATAATATATATGCATAATATTATAAAATCAATTTGGTGGCATATCTATTTTAAAATTATTTTATTTTTAATGAGATGAATATTTTAATTATATATAAGTTTAATTAAGTTTTGTGTTTCTAATAAATTAAAAAATTTAATTGAATTCTATTTGTGTAACATCCCAAAATATAGCGATTAATCATATTATAGTTGTTACAAAATCAATACTATAGAACAGTTAAAGACTATTATATAAAGTATAAACTTTACAGTCATCCAAAATATCCATAGAATTTAAAACTTTATATACAACCTAACTATTTCAAAACTATTTACAATGTTAATTTAAAACTAACTACTCAACAACATTTCCTCCGTCAAATGCTTGCTCCAAGGAAACCTCATATCTCTATGCTCACATCCACATGATGATCATTGCAAAAGAAAGAACACCGACACATACAAAACGCAAACACACACAACAGGGTAAGCTAGTTTAAATAAAAGAACATGCATTATATTTACTAATTACCGTTCATACAATCATACATAGTCATTTCTCACACAAAATACTTTATGCAAGACACAACACTGACTTGATTGTCCGGACTTAGAATGATTGTCGAGCTATGGCGGGTCATGCACTCGTGGTGGCTTCTACTGCTTTGCAAAGCCATTGCCAACAGGTTTCACCCTACCATACTCACGAGGTTAGTCTGTTCTGGGCCATAGAGCATACTGTAAGCCTCCAAGACTAAGACCTTTTGCTACTCCTCGCAACATGGATCAATCCTCTATACGTGAGAATGAAAGACCATTGGAGTTTTAGGATAACCCCCCAAGATTGAGCTCCTGCATTCATTCTAAACATACTTAAACCTCACCAAGAGGATTCACTTTGGAACTTACTTTCACCACTTTGAAACCATACTTTGAATCTTAACTCATGACTTTATTGCTCATACAACTCATACATAATCATACTTCATTCACAACAAAATTAATTTGTATTTCAAACCAATCAAAAACAAGAAAAGAAAGAGTACTCAAAGGCATGAATCAGTCGTTCAGCGCATACCCTCCCTAAGCGACTATAGAGTGTTCTCGCACAGCGACCCAGCTCGCTAAGCAAATGAAACTTCCAGTGGTAACAGACCCCAAATCTCTCGCTCAACGACCCAACTCGCTGTGTGAAAGTCCAAACAATGGTCCAGACCCCTCAAACACTCGCTGAGCGCACCCATTCGCTATTCGAATAAAACTCACAGTGCTCCCATACCTCAACTAGTCACTCAGCGCACCTTCTCGTTGTGCGAATAATCAAACAGTGAGCCAACCTCTAAAAACACTCGCTGAGCGACTCCACTCGCTCAGCGAGTCTACATAATCTACACCACCAATTCTGCATAATTACGCAACCTACACCAAGTTTACCAATTCCAACCATTTTTTCCAACTTCTAACCTTCCTAGATTGTGTTATATACCTAAATATACTTAACCAATGCTCTCTAAACACTTTTAACCTCAATCTAAACAAGTAGACTCAAAATCTCACCCAAAAACTTATAAAAACTCAACTTAGAGACTCAAATTGAATTCTACCATTTGTGTCATAATTCTAAGCAACTTAGAGACTCTAACAAATCCCAAATGACTTACCAAGACTTCCCAAACTGACCATTTGCACATAGAACTCCAAACTCAAGTTTTCAATACCTCACTTCCTCCAAATTAAGTTCTAACACAAGTAGAACTCTAACTCATTACCACCACACTCTACTAACTCAAATCTCCAACATCACCAATTATTAAACAAACCCACACCAGTTCATAAACAGCCCCAAATTCACCAAATCAGTTCAACAACCCTTTTTTTTCCTTTTTCACTACCTTAAGCTTCTTCTTACACTAAACAACCACAAACAAAGATTTCTTTTCCACTATAACAGTCCAATTATGTACAATTCAATTCAACCACATCAACTACAACATCATAAACATACATATACCAGATTCCACACATGACCAACATCCATCAACATATAAAACATGCATTCCACGCAATTACCACTAACAAAATCACGTTTTCCACTCCAACAGTTTAATTATAATAACCATCAAACTCATTCCACATGTTTCTATTTAAAAGAAGTTAACTACCTTCCCTTACCTTAGAGAAATGCGACACAGCTTTAGAAAACCCCGACCGATGCTTGCACTGCAAGGAAACTCTAGAAAAACCTACAAATCACCGACTGGTGATAGGAAACCAACCTTAGAACCTAAATTGAGCTAAGAGTCGAGAAAGAGAGACACGATTCTCATGCAAAGACAAAAAATCTGCATAATCACAAATTTTAAGGAAAACTTAGAAAAGAGGAACAAAACTTATTGGCTCAAATCAAGAAATTGATCGGTTGAAAAGGTAGCTCTCGACGCCAGAATCGCCTAGACACTTCCTGATCGTCGAATAGATGACCCAAAGATGAGAAAGTGTAAAGAGAAGTGAGAGAAAGGGAAGAGAGATAATTACTCACTCTCATAAACACTCATTGATTTAGTATTTTTTTGTGTATATGTATAATTGATACAATGTCATTCTACAAAAGGAATAGATAACTCTTATGGACTATGATATGTTAACAACTTTTTGGTTAAACCCCTTCGAAAGTTCCTATTTACATGGGTTTTTTGTAGTTAGATCCCTGTTTTATTGGATTTTCCAATTTAGTCCTAAAAAAAGAAAATTTAAATCAATTGAGTCCTTGCCGTTAAATTCGCTTAACAAGGTTAAGTTTTTTATGAGCTAGAGCATTGACATGGTCTGTTTTTTAAACGTGGCATTCATAGAGCATACGTGACCAGTTTTCTTAAATTTGACATGAAAAATGTTTGATTAAAATTTTTTAAAAAAAGTCACCTTCCATTACAATCAAGCACCACCCAAAAATCTTCTTCCCTGTACCCAGACCCTAAATTCAGCAATAGCTTTCATTCCAGCATCTGTAATTCCTACACATTACACAACAATAATGCCCTGTTAATAATAAAACTTGAACCCTCTAGATTAGAAAAAATAACAAACTAATTGAAGGACACCCTTTAAAAGTGATGTCAAATCTTTGTTTTTAGTCCACCGTCCATGGAAGTTAACTTAGCAGAAACATATAGAAAAATAATCAATGGTCGTAGTAAATCAGCATAGAGAAATTCAAGATTTGAAAGGCAAATCAGAGAAAAACAAGGACGAAGAGAGAGAAAAAAAAGGAACCTTTGCATTTGTACAAATTGAGGATCTTCAAGCAAGTGAGGCCATTAACGATGACGGCGAGGTCGGAATCGTGACGCTAGGGTAAAAGGAACGAGAAACAGACTGAGCAAGGTCCAATTCGACCAAGCATGGCAAACGCAGCTGAAGTTTCAGCTTTCAATCGCATTAAGTTCCAAACCCCAAATAATCGACCTCGACACCCCCAATCCCCTCACGTTGCTTCATAAGAAACCTCAATTAAATCGAAAACCTTTTCTGCAATTCTCTCTCCCCAAGAAGGCCGAGTGGATCCAATTTGGGATACCGCATCCCAACCTGGCTGTGGTATTGCTGGACAACCAACCGGAGAAGAAGCACTACAGAGGAGTCGACCAGCGGCCTTGGGGAAAGTTCGCCGCTGAGATCTGCGACCCGAACAAGCGCGGGTCGAGAGTGTGGCTTGGAACCTTCGACACCACCATCGAGGCCGCAAAGGCCTACGATCGTGCTGCCTTCAGGCTCCGTGGCTCAAAGGTCATTCTCAACTTCCCACTCGAAGCAGGCGCGATAAGTGGCACCGTCGAGGCCGAAGGTGAAAGGAAGCGGCGGCACGAGGAGAAGGAGGTAGAGGAAGTGAAGCCGGTGGTGAAGAAGGAGAAAACAACGGAACATGAGGTGAACTGTTTTCGGGAGATGTCGTTAACACCTTTAACTTCAATCTTGAACCTAATTTGATTTTAGTAAACCCTAATTTGGTGGTGTTATTTCATATTTTACAAACTTTTTGGGTTTCATGAAAACCAAATTTCGTGGTCAACATCAATTGTTAGGGTTGAAGATGATGAAAAGTAAGGTTGAAGATGATGAACCCTAATTTTGGGTTTCAATTCTCATAATTTTTTTTAATTATATATTCCACGTATACAACGTAGAGAATGCCACGTTTAAAAAATTTGTCACGTCAATGTCCAGGTCATAAAAAACTTAATCCCGTTAAGCCAATTTAACGGGAGGGGCCCAATTGACTCAAATTTTCATTTTTTAGGACTAAATTGGGGAATCAAATAAAATGAGGATCTAACTGGAAAAAACCCATGTAAATAGGGACTTTCGAAGGGGTTTAACCCAACTTTTTTTAACAACTTTTTTGGTAATAGATTATATGTCACTATTTTATTGGTTCGTATATTTGAAATGAATCAATCACAAGCTACCACATAGACTGTTGTAAAAAAAAATTATTAAAAAAATATTTTCCAACTCTTATATATAGAATTATCTCATAACACAAAATATGATAAAAATTTAAATTTCATATACTTGAATTAATATAATATTTTCTCTTAATTCAATATTAACACTAATAATGTCTATTTCACCTCTCAATATTTTTATAAGAAATGGAATGTAGACTTTATATGCTTGTCACTTCCATATGACACAAATTTATTGGTTAAATTTATGGTTAACTTGTTATTTACAAGCAATTGAATAGACTTTTCAATCTCAACACTCATTTCACTCATTATGGAGACCAACCATACAACTTGACAAGAAAACTTGATTATGTTATATATTCGACCTCACATGTAGATAAAGCCACCACAAATTGCTTCCTACTTCACCAAAAGATTGGTGCTCCCATAAACATAACACATAGCCAATGATGCTTCTTTTGTTAATGTTATCACCACACCAGTTTGCATTAGAATAACAAAAGAACTTATTCTGCACTTGATTAGATTTAGGAAACTTTTTATGTCATACCCAACTTAATTGTTGTGTTGAAAAACACTAGTTTTCAGCAAGAATTAGTATTATCTGAAAAGTCATATTCATTAATAAGGGAGACTTCAACACAAGCTTTGTTAAGACAAAATTGTCTATACATCTAAACACTCTCATGTTTTGAAGTTTAACAAAAAAACATTAAACGAAATAAGAATATGAAAATACCATAGGATCAGACATAAGACTTAGTCAAAATCCCCAACATAGAAAAACTTTAGGAAAAATCTTAGGATTGTAGAAAACATAAAAACACCTGAATCAAAACACCTGGACGCAATGTTGAATGACTGATAAGTCAAAGCGTCTAAGAGAGTTATGCTAAACGCGTAAACTTACTATATCTTAGGGGTATTCAGATGAACTCTCGGGAAAATGAAGAAGTGTCCAGAAAACGTCTTCGACAAAAACACTCTAAAAATTAAACATAACATGTTAAACGTTATTTCTCTAAAAAGGAAAAATTACAAAACGCATTTACATCAACCTAACCGATACCATGAGCTAAGACTGTTACTTCGTCCAACGATGAAGCTCTCACTCAATGCATGGTATCTTGAGAAGAAAAACTTAATTGTTAAATGCTACCTTAATGGTAGAAAATGAAAAGCACTTTATTGTTCTAAGCAAGCATTAAATGACATTAAATGTTTAATGTTCAAAACCAACAAAAGTGATAAAAGATAAGACATATCTGCGACATGCACAATCTACTCTATTCTTTGTAGATAACTGATAACAGTTGAAAAACTGTTATTTTCATGCTTAAAATTGATACTAAAAGCAACCTTTTACACTTAGAAACTAGCTTGGAATCATGTTTTTGTTCATATTTTTGGAAATAAGAGAGTTCGACAGGTTTGTGCTTGATTTCAGTGTTTTATGCAGGTTTTAAGGTGAATTTGGTGAAAGAAGTGAAGAAGGATAGAGATGGAATCAGAAAAGAATTCAAAAAGTGCAGCCGCAAGTACCGCTTAGCGGAAGTTTACTGCTGAGCGGCACTCAGGAAATCCCGTTGGCTCCGCTGAGGGGTGAAAATTCCGCTGAGGGGTGAAAATTCCGCTGAGGGGAAGAATCAACTCACGCACTTACTGCTAAGCGGTAGTTTACCGCTGAGCGGCACTATTTTGGGCTTGGGCCTAATTTTCTGTATTTTTTAGAATAGTATATAAGCTTTAGGACGTCCTAGGGTTTGTATCTTTTGCTGAGACGAAGCAAACACTCTCTTTTCCACCCCTTGGAGGAAGATCTTGGATGCTCAGGCTACCTACTCATCTTTCTAGGGTTCTATCTTTCATTCTTTCATTATTGTTCATCTAGTTTCACCATGAATATGGTGAACTAAACTTTGTATTGTTGTTGGGAAATTAATGTAATCTTGTGAAACTCTCATATATGGAATTTGTGTTTAAACATCTTATTTGAGATACATGCTGTCTTTCATCATTAGTTAGGGTTTTTCCTCTTTGCTCAAAGCATGCATTGTTTAACTCATTCGATGCCATGATTATTGATTTTGTCGATATGGGAACGTACGGGGAAATCTAGATCCGGGGAAATTCTCCCAATAGCATATTGCCTAGACATAAGAATATGAGGGTTGGTTGCCTTTAAGCTTCTGTGCTTCAGAATTAATTATTAGGGATGCTAGGAATTGTATGAACTCGTAATTAAGGATAGGCCTTCTTGCAAGGTGATTTAGAGAGTGGCATTAACATTGATGAAAAGAATGATGAATTCCTAAAAGTATATGAGAGTGGATAAGATGAAATTGATAACCCCAAAAACATACTCATCCATTTAATTCGTTCAAGTGTTTGTGTTCATCTTTTCCATTGATCAAACTCATGCATACATGTTTATTTATTGTCTTTTGCATTTGAAATCTATAATCAATTGTCCACAAGTTTTAAGTAATCAACAAATCATATAACTAACTAGGCCGTGAGTCCTTTGGGAGAACGATACTTGGTCTTACCGAGTTTATTACTTGATACGATTCGGTCATACTTGTCGAGGGTTAAACAAGTTTTTGGCGCCATTTTTCGGTGTTCATAAATTTGTCATCAATAACCTACTTTACACGCACACACATGCTTCATTTAAAAATCATTAGTGGACATTAGAGACAAAAGATATATTCACATAATGTTCTTTACTTGGGAAGCGGTGTCTAAAAGGAAGTACAACATACTTCAAGCAAAGTACTGAAAAAGCAAACATGCTTTGACAAACTGACTTTAACCAATGACTATTGTACACGAAGAAAGAGAAGACACCATAATCAAGGCCAAGAGCTTAGTCTAACAGACATTTCTCCAAAAGCCTTTATAAGCATATCTGACATCAATGTTGACATCAGCCACGTGTTAGCCGATGTTAATTAACGTCCAATAGGTCATCCGACATCCAAATTGACATATCTCAATATGACATCAGGGTGTGGACGAATATTAAATGCCCAATGGTTGGTTATAGTAGTGTTATAACCCAATGATTATAATTTTTTCCATCAATAATTGGTAGATTTGAAAAGTATCCACTCCCATTGCCAGCCGTTGTAGATATACTTATGCAAAAAATTTCCAAGACCTCAACACTACTCCTCATACCACTTATTGGTAGAGGCAAGAAAGAACACACACTCAGAGGTAATTATCGACTCTATCACAAATCTGCACACATGTTGATTGGTTTAATGTTTATGTGTACATGTATTATTGATACAACATTTTACAAAGGAATAAGAAACTGTTATATAGAGTTAGCTCATAACAGAAAATAGAATATAACTTTAATTGTCATATACTTGAATTAACACAACAGCGAGTTTGCTAGAAAAATTTACTATGAATTTTCAATTCATAGGAAGTTATTATAAATTAAAGAAAACGGTACTTGCATTTGCAACAAAATTTCCTCACATTTTGTTATTCTCAAAGAGATTACTTGCAAACCAAAATTTACTGGAATATTTATATGAAAGTGTTTGACACTATTTTTTTTTTCAATAACTAAATTCGATAGGTTTTTTTTGTAAGACCCTTAGAAATCGAGTATTAAAAATGATAGAGTATTTAAATAATGATACTCCCTTATTTTAGTTTAGAAAATATACATAGTATAAACAAAATTTTATATTAAGGAGTTTCATTTATCTAAAAGCTTTATCTCTCTATAACTCTTTCCCTTAAACTTTCTCTACAATCTCTCTAGAGATTCTCACCATTCTCTCATTTGTTTAAAGATCCAAAGCCGCTTGAGAAATCCTTGAAACAAGATCTTCCTTCCTGTCCGATTGATTTCAACTAAAGAGTAAGTTGAAATTTTACCCCTTTTTCCCTAAATTTCTAATGCTTCCATGTGAGGGTTATTTTCATATTTGGGGGTTTGGGTCCTCTCTAAGGATTTTTGTGGATCCGTGATGCTAAGGATAGACTTTGATTTAAATTATTTTAACTAGAGGAACTAATAGATGTTTTAGCGCTTTAGGAGGAGCTTTTGAATGGGTAGAATCGATTAAACACCAAAAAGGTAAGGAAAGTTAGTTTTTAATTGATTTTGTCTAGTAAACAGGTTATAATTAATGTTGGTATGGTGTAAAATTTATTGAATTGTAAAATTGTATGGAATTGCAAAATCTAGCATGTTGAGTGGTTTGTTGTGTGTTTGATGATGTGAAAAATTGGATGAAAATGAGGTGAAACATGATTTTGATGTAAGGTTGTGTATGATGAAATTGAGATGATAAATTGGGCATTTTAGAAGCTATCAAATTGTTATATAATATTGTTTTGCGTTCAGCAGAAAGAATAGGTGATTTTGGGGCTAAAAATTGGGGGGGGGGGGGTTGATAGGTGGAAATTTAGATATGGGTTATTTTGGATAAACTGTACTTTGAGATTGGTCTAAGGTTTATTTAGGACTGTTTTGGGCTCTAGGACAGT